ATTGTGATGTAAAACATCATTACTGTGAATTACAGTAAAAAAAAAAAAAAAAGTTGGAAAACTGTTAGAGCAGTGGTTCTCAATCCTCAGGTATAGAATCACCTGGAGGGCTGGTAAAAACAAGACTGCTTGGCCCCAACTCCAGAGCTGCTGATTCAGGAAACCTGGGGTGGCCACTGGGAGTCTGCATGTCCAACAAGTTCCCGGTGGAACCACATTTGAAAACCACGGCTCTATTTGATTCTCAGACCCAAAAAAGAAGGTAGAGCAGATAGTAGTTTTACGGCCTTTACGATTCTGGGGTTCAGAAAAGTTAAGTGACATCAGTGGTCACACAGCCAAGTGACAGGACGAGAAATCAGATCATACAACTTCTTAACCCACTCTTTCCACCCTTTCTTGCCTTGTCTGTGCTCAAAAAAGTGGTCAAGCTCCCTCCTCACCTTAGGCTAGGAGCAAGATGAGGCTCCCAAAAGATGGAAACCTCGGTGATAACATACGTAAAATATTTTGGTGTATGCGCATTAGTGCGTTTTGGGGGAGGTATAAACAGATTTCAGGAGTCTCAAAGGCAAAAATGTTAATATGTACGTGTATACGTGTGTGGGGGGAGGAGGGAGGGAGGGAGAGAGAAAGAGAAAAAACCCCACTGGCCTATCAGATAAAGTTTCACTCTTGTCTGAGTTTCAGGCCCCTTATTCTTTCCCAACCCTCCTCCCCACTGGCCACGGGAGCCTAATCTCGTTTACTTAACTGCCCTGCTTCGTCCTGCTCCAGCCTGGCCCCTACGCTGTTTGGCTGCCTACACCCTCACCCGCATCTACAAATGCACCTTCTCCAGACCGCCTTCCCACGGCCCAGGTGGAACTCCTAAGGCCTTGAGTACCAGCCGGAGTGCGAAGCACGCCGAGGCCCCTCCAACCAGGACAACACAGGGCCTTGGATGCACTCCAGACGCCGCCAGCGAGACACGTGCCCATGAGTCCATGAAGAATAACATTTTAGAGAGCAGTTCTGTAACCTATTTTAAAATGCAAGCCCTTTTTTTTTTTTTTTTTGCAAGCCCTTTTTGATTAAAAAAAAAAAAATGCTTGACTCATCCCGGCTGGACGCCCTCTTTAAGAAAAACAAGCGGCAGCTGGGGCCCCCGCGGCGGGAGATTTAGTTCAGCTTTACAGTCTGTGGTTTGTGTTACAAAAACAAGCAGGGTCTTGAAAATAAGAATACTGACTACCAGCCAGAGTGTAAGCGTCACTAGAACGTAATGTCTGGCAAGTAGTAGACACTCATTATTTGTTAGTTTCAAAATATTTGGAGTCTACTTTAGGCTACACTCACCCACACAAAGTAATGCTGACACTAGCCAACGTTCTCTCCTCCCCGCCGGCCACGGTTTTAAACTGACTCCTTTAAACCTCACCGTAATCCTTCCAAGGTGGGAATATTATTATTCCCATTTTACCGACGGGGAAACCAAGGCCCTGAGAGGTTAGTCACTAGGACAAGTTGCACAGTGGCACACGAACAGCTCCGAGAGGCCTAACCCCCAGCCCGGCGCCCCGAGACGCCACAGCACTTACCCCGAGCGCCGCACTTGCCGCGGCGGGGCCATCTCAGCCTACCGTTCACTGCGCCAGCGCAGCTCCCGAAGTTCCCGCCAAACCCCGCGCTGCTTCCAGCGGCCAATCCGGGCAGAGCACGCGGGCACGCCCCCTCCCGAGCTTGCTTCCTATAGGGCCAGGGCTCCTCCCCGTCCTAGAGCGCGAGAGAAAACTCGGCCTGGCACAGCGCGAAAGCGGAGCTGGAGTTTACGCCTTACAAGCAGTTCCTGACGGGTCCACGAGACGCCAAAGGTTTCCCGGGTTTTCCCTCACCCCACGTCCGCCGCGCACGTTTTCCGCGCTCCTGAGCCGCCAGAAAGCCCCAGGGGGCGAGGAAGGGGAGGAGCGAGTGCCGGAAAGTCGGAGGGCGCTCTCCCGCGAGGGGCGGATCCAAACCCAGGGCGGGGCGCGCTGGGTGCTTAGGAGCCTGCGCAGTTGTCTAGTGTAATGCATTGGAAATAGGCTTTGACTTTTACCCTGCTGCTGCCCTGAAGCAGTGGTGTGAGCTTGGCTTATTATTTCTACCCCAGTTTCTTCATTCGTAAATGGGGAGGGCCCCTTTTAATATTCGCTGATTCTTTGCTTTGTGTTTAAAAATGTACTATCCTGCAAAAGAAAGATGTTGGACCTTTATCACACCATAAATAAAAATGAACTTAAAATGGATCAAAGACCTAATTGTAAGAGCTAAAACTCTTAGAAGAAAACATAGGGCAAAAGCTTCACGACATTGGACTTGGCAATGATTTCTTGGATGTGACAGCCAAAAGCACAGTTTGGGATGATGAAAAAGTTCTAGGTGGTTAATGGTGGATGGTTGCAAAGCAGTGTGAATTACATAAGTAACTACACTAAGTTGTACAGTTAAAAATGGTTAAAATGCTGAACTTTATGTCGCGTACAGTTACCACAATAAAAATTATTATATTTCATGCGTACTAAAGAATATAACATATATAACGTAAAGATAAAAAGGAGCACCTATGTGCTCACCACTGGGTTAGGAAAGTAATAACGGTCATTCCTTCCACGGATAACCACTCTTCTGATTTTGTGTTTCTCATTCCCATGTTTTTCTACCTTGATATATCCCTAAATGATGTATTAATTATTGTATGTTTTGTTTTGTTTTTTTGCGGTATATGGGCCTCTCACTGTTGTGGCCTCTCCCGTGGCAGAGCACAGGCTCCGGATGCGCAGGCTCAGCGGCCATGGCTCACAGGCCCAGCTGCCCCGCGGCATGTGGGATCTTCCCGCACTGGGGCACGAACCCGTGTCCCCTGCATCGGCAGGCGGACTCTCAACCACTGCGCCACCAGGGAAGCCTTATTGTATGTTTTCAAACTTTATATAAATGATATTTGGTATGTATTTTGGAAGTGCTGTTTCTTCCTCATGATTTTTAGGTTTTATCCACATTGATGCATGTAGCTGTCATTTATTCATTTTCACTGTCTTTGGAAGGCATTAAGTAAATATACCACATTTTATTAATCCATTCTCCCGTGTATGGAAACATCAGTTGTTTTCAGTCATTTTGCTGTTTGTTACCAGCAATGCCATGCTAAACATTCCTGTAAGTGTCTTGCAGGGCACATATCTAAGAGACAAGGATAGACTCAGTAGTACTGTTCCTGCCTCATGGGATAAAGACATTTTCAGCTTTATATGAGAATGCCAAGTTCTACGCACCGTTTTACAGACTGTACAATTTACAGCCCCATCAGCAGTGTATAAAAGCCCTATTGGCTCCACATACTTGTCAATACTTAGAATTTTCAAGACTTAAATATTTTTCCCTGACTAGCAAGTTGAAATGGTATCCTATTGTGTTTTTGATTTGCATTTCCCTTAAGTTGATCATCTCTTCCTTGTTTATAGGTCCTTCCTGATTCCTCTTCAGTGAAATACCTGTTCACCCCATCCAGGAATCATTTGGGCAATTGCCACAGAAGAGTAAATCACCTGTGAGGATTTGAAGGTAGTTCCCCTCTGATGCATAGAAATAGGGTTCCTGGAATCACTGAAAGTTGTCACCGGTAAGAGTGTGGAAATATAGCTCCATTTCCCAGGAAAAGGGTTACAGTCAAACCTTTTGTGCTTGTACTTCTTGTCTTTCTGTTAAGACAAGAAGAGGTTCAGCACCCTGGATGGAAGTAAAATCGCAGCCCAAGTAGGTTTAAATGATAAAGGAATTTATGAGCTCGTGTCCTTGAAAAGTCCAGCGGTAGGATGGCTGTCCAGCTCAATTGGATCTAGAGGCTGGAGAAGCCATCAGGGCTCTGAATCCATTTCCCTGCTCTTCTTGGACCTCAGCTTTTTCCTCAGCCTGGGTCCTGCCATCATCATCCCCATCCCCATCATCATTGCCTGGACTTACTGAGCATTTACCATGATCCAGGCATCGTTCCAAGTGTTTAGTATAATGAAGCCATTTAACCCTCTCAATAACCCGCTGTGGTAGGCGCCAGAATCCCACTGTGCATATGGGGAAACTAAGGAGCAGCCCCACAGGAGGTAAGTGACTGTGGCTGCACAAGACCTGAGGATTCTGGCCCAGGGCCTGCACCTGGCGCTCTTCCAAGTCTCCCGTCGGAATTCCACCCTTCAGAGAAAGAGAGCAGCTATGTCCCAGCACTCCTTCTCCAGAAAAAGGCCTGAGATTTACTCTAACTGGACCAGCTTTCGTGACATGCCTACCTGTATTTGTCAGGGTCCCAGAGAGCTAGAACTAATAGGACGTGCCACTGGGGTTGTGAAGAAGTAGGGACAGTGCTCAGGACGGGGCGGATGGGGGCAGAAAACACAGGAGTGGAGCCAGCGGGTCTGGAGCCTCGGGGGAACCCGGAGCGGCGCGGGGAAGCTCAGAGGGACTGCAGGACCTACGAGGCGGGTCGTTAAGTTATGGAACATACTTTCATGTTTGGGAAATGAAAAAAAAAAAACAAACTGCTTTTATAATACAAATATAGAAAATAAAGAACTACAAGACATCCTGGATCCTTGGGGTAAACTGAATGGTTAGGTATGGACACTTCCCTGCGGAAATATATCTTCCCTGTGGAGTAGGTTGATCTATATATTAGTTCTATATTTTGGAATTATTAGCTTGATGTTTAATGAAAATATAAATGAGAATATTATTATTTATCTTATAGGATTACCATGAAGATAAGAGATAAAGAATCTGGGGCTTCCCTGGTGGCACAGTGGTTGAGAGTCCGCCTGCCGATGCAGGGGACACGGGTTCGTGCCCCGGTCCGGGAAGATCCCACATGCCGCGGAGTGGCTGGGCCCGTGAGCCATGTCCACTGGGCCTGCGCGTCTGGAGCCTGTGCTCCGCAACGGGAGAGGCCACAACAGTGAGAGGCCCGCGTACCGCAAAAAAAAAAAAAAAAAAAAAAAAAAAAAAAAAAGAAAGAGAGATAAAGAATCTGGAGGTTCCTAGACAGATAGAAGGGCTTATCATTTCTTTCTGTGCCTCTTTGCTTTTTTTTCTAGCGAGCTCCTTCTGTTACATGTTCTGTTCAGCGCTGTGTCCACTAGGGGGCAGAGGAAGAATGGGCTGGAGATTGGAAAACGTAACCAGAGACCAGAGCTACTTACCCATGTTCAGACATTGTCAATAATGTTTACCGTCAGTTCAAAGTGGGTTCAAGATTAATAGGACTAGACATCTTAACTGCCTTTGCTCAACTCATTTTCCCCTTCATGTGCAGAATCCTCTTCCATAATTTATCAAATCCATTCCTGTAAGTTTCCCTTAAGGCAAAGAGTGTAATTTTCTATCGTGGGAAAGAAAATCATTTATTTCTTCAATTTTCCGACTTTCTTTTGTAACTTCTTACAGCACCTGCGAATTACTGGGTACACAGTTATAACCCACTAAACTTGGCAGTTCTCATTGGGAAGAAACTAAAGTCGTTATCTGTTTCAAACAGACCAACGGCTTGACATCTACAACTACAACACTGCAAAACAAACTTGAAACATCCCAGGAGGGCGAGCCGGGGGGGCCAGGAGGAAAGAGACCTTCCCTTGGATGCCCCCTTTTAAGAAAAAGGGGAAATAAAAATTCAGAAAGGAAGTACTATTCGGTGTCCTTTAAGTTGGAGGGCAGAAAGATTTTTCCATCGGAGCAAACTGCAATGACATTAGCTCCCTCCCCAGGTCATGTGCTTTCCAACACTGCCCTGGCTCTGATACCCGGCTAGTAAACTTGTCTGCTCTGTAACTAATGTTCTACTTTTTCCAGACCTAATTGGCACTTCTCCTACCCAAGTTGAGATCACATGGCTAAGTAGGTCGGATCACTACATCCTGACGATGCTGTGTCTCATGTTTCAGATTCCGTTCCCAGCTCCCTGCAGGACTCAGAGGGTCTGGTGCAGGAACCCTGGCAGGAACATTCTAGCAAAATCCAGGATTTCACTAGCCAAAAAAACCCGACTTCCAATCTGTGAAGGGAATAACTTTATAACTTGTACAAGGATCAAAGGAGCACATAAGCGGAGAAAGAGAAAAGAAGATGGAAGAACACCTCAAAGAAAAAGATTTTCTTAAGGAAAAAAGGGACATAAAATTTCTACAGTAGAAACTTGTCTCCATGATTCACTTTCAAGCTCTGGTCAAAAAAGAACTTTCTGGAAAAAGTTTTCATCCTTGTGATGACCTTGCTCACTCGGACATGACTTTCGGGTGGCCTGAGGACACACACAGTTGTGAGGCTGACCTTGTTCAGAACGTTCCCGGCAAGCAGGGTCCTTTCCTCAGGGATCCTTTCTGCTCAGCGAGCAGGGAGGAGGGGGCAGTGGAAGAGCCAGGGACACTTCAGACAAGCTCAGGTCAGACAGGCTTCCCTCTAACCCCAGGTGACACAAAAATCTTCTTCCTAGAGCCTTCTGTAGGAGGAAACGGCTCCCCCCGCCCTCTGGCTGCCACCCTGTACCTCATGATCTAGCTCACTCACCCCGTTGACCTTGTGCCCTGGCATAAAAAGATCGTTATCACCCTACCCCTCCACCTCACACCACTGCCAGCCACAAACATGCTCGACAACTTGTTTCCTGGGCTTGGAGAATCGGAGAAGGCTTCCTAGAGGAAGTGACACCTATAATCTCACTGAAATAAAGGACAGGAGCCAGCCACGGGGGGGAGTAAGAGAGTGCTCGAGGCAGGGTACATGTGCAAAGGCCCAGGGGCGAGTGAGAGCATCATGCATTCTGGGAGCTAGAATGAGCCCCATATGGTTGAACGAGTCGAGGAGGTGGCCAGAGATGAGGCAGGGGCCCTCCAGTTCCTTGCCCCTCAAAGTGCAATGCACAGGCCAGCAGCGCTGGCTTCAGCCGGGAGCTTATTAGAAATGCAGAAGTTCAGGCCTGATTCCAGATTTACTCTCCCCCAGGGGATCTGATGCGCAATCACATTTGCCAAGCCTTCCTCTAAGTACGTTCAGCAGTTCAGGCTGGAGAGCGATAGGCAACGTCGACGTGATTAAGCAGGTGAATCACATGATTAAGACACATGACTTAGAGAAATCATTCTTGCTGCGAAGCGGAGGGCAAGTGGGTGAGTTAGTAGAGACCAAAATCGAAGGCAAGGAGGCGGAGTAAGAGGCTGGCGCGGTTGTCCTGGCAGGAGACGGCGGCCGCCCTGCTTGGGTGGGAGGACTAAGGGATGCAGGGAACTGGGTGGATCTGATGCACAGCTGGGGACGCAGCAGCAGGGGCAGCGGCCGAGCTGCCTGGGGCTGTCCTGGAGTTTCTCCCAAACGCAGGGCCTGGTGACAGCTCTGCCCAGGCAGGGCCGGGCAGCTGGCAGGAGGTCACGGGGTAGGGGCAGCAGTGTTGTGGGTGCGGGGAAGCAATAGACTCGAAAACAAGAGTCCCTCTATGTCTGCGCACGTGGCCCGACGCAGCACGTGAGCCAACTGGTTCCGCACCCATGCCAGGAGTGTCGCAGCCGAGCAGGGACTCCAGCGCCCCTGGGCAGCACTGCTGTCGCGCCCGTGATTCACCCTCCAGCTCAGCAAGCCCCGTGCAAAGCAGGAAGCCTGCTCAGGGTTCTTGGGGGAAAATCCAGCAGCCTTCGTATTTAGCAAGGACGATTTGTGTTAGAGAAATGTGACAGCCCAAACGGTCCCCTCCCTAAAAATCTCAGCAAAAGAAAGTGGCTAAGAACTTACATGCAAAATACATTTGTGGAAAAAAACCCTGCTTCCAAGGCAAGAGCAGAATCTCTCTGTACCTGAAGAATGGTGCCAAGAAGCAGAATTCACCCAGCAAGACTGCCACCATTCGAGCAAATCAACAGCAAAGGAGTTAAAAGTCAAAAGGAAAATTCTAGATTTCTTTTTATGCCAAATGTATGGATAATAAGGAAGGTGGGTCAGTCTTCCAATTCCTCTTGCTGGGTGAAGGGGTGAGATCAAGATGAACACAGGTCTGAGCACCCACTGTGGGATACAGGAGTGAAAGGCGGCTGGGCAAGGGCGTGGGTGGAGGCGGGCTCGCTCTGCTCAGAGAGGACACAGAAGCTCATCCTCAGTGCTGTGAGCCACAGGAGAGTCCCCTTCAGTCACACGCACAGCCGTGGCCACCATCCGAAATAACCGCGGAGGGGGTGGAGGCTGGAGGACGGGAGGGATGCTCGGGGCCTGACTGGCTAACAGATCCATCCCTCACCTGTCACGGTGCTGCCAGAGCCTTCTGCCCTCTGTCCACCTGCTCTGCCCAGCAGTTGGGGACAGACGGGCAGCTTCTCTTCTGCTGCCGTGAAAAGCAACAATCACTGGGAATATGGATGAAACACAAAAAGGAAGGTCCAGAGTCCCTGGCATTCACCCTGCCCCTCCTCATAGCCGGACTCAAAGTGCACTGGAGACTGTAACTGCACCCGAGGTGCTAATTAAGAAAACTCATCCAACATGACGACTGGGCCCCTGAGACGCTCAGGGCAGTGGGCATCACGCCATGCAGGGGGAGGGTCAGGAGGGAGGTGGCCCAGACACAGAGAGGCCCTGGAGTCAGAAAATCCAGTTCAGCCACTTACTAGGACAAGTCAGCGGATCTCTCCAAGCTTCAGTTTTCTCACGCATAACAGGGAGGTGATACTTCAATGAAAAAAAAAAAAAGAGGAAATATTCAGATAGGAGCTCCCTAATTGTTCTGCGTCAATCACCTTGGATCTACCTGTATCTACCCCCGCGTTCCCTAGCCCCCTTCCTGTTGCAATGCAAGAATCATCCTATTGAAATATCCCACCGATCTCTGCACTCGACTGTGGGCTCTAACCCCTCCCGCTCTCGGGACAGCCTTGTTCTCCCCTAGTTTCTGCATCATTTTCTGTGATGATAGGTCATCATCACATCACATCATAACGCTCTGTATCTCTCATCTTCAAACCCACCACCACCAGCAAAGAAGAGCCAACCCCTCCACCTCCCCTTCTTCTCCAGTTACCATCCATCCACTCATCTGACTTCCTTCACGGCAAAACTTCAAGACAGAGCTGTCCATCCTTCTTCCTGGCTCCCTAGAAGTTCAGGCCTCAGCCCACTCCAGCAGGCTGCTGGCTTCCCCACTCTGCTGGACACTCATTGCCAAGGTGGATGCCATTCCCTGCTACAGCAGCACACCACGTAACTGGCCCGCCCCTCCCTCCCTTTCTGAAACACTTCTCCCTCTGGGCTTCAGGGATGCCACGCGCTTGGTTCCTACCTTCCTCATGGCAGGTGACTCTCAACCCCCGTTGCTGGCTCTTTCATCAACGCCCCACTGTGGAGGTCCCCAGGGCTCCGTGTGGGGCCGCCTCGATTTCCTATCCAGGTTTCCCGGTCCCCAGGTTGCCCCCCTGATAAAGCCCCTCGGCCTGAAATACCTTTCCTGTGCTGCGGACTTTGCAATCTGTTGTCTCCTGACTCGTCTTCTGAGGCAGTGGCCCCCAACCTTTTTGGCACCAGGGACCGGTGTCCTGGAAGCCGATTTTTCCATGGACGGGGGAGGGGAGGGGGATGGTTCAGGCTGTAACGCGAGCGATGGGGCGTGGCAGATGGAGCTCCGCCCTCCCCCCACCCGCCGCTCACCTCCTGCTGTGCGGCCCCGCCCCTAACAGGCTGCGGGCTGGTGCCGGGGCTTGGGGACCCCTATTCCGAGGTGCAGACTCGTATCTATCTTTACGTGGTTGTCCAGCAGGAACCTCAGATGGAAATTGCCCAAACCCAACCTCTTGATTCCCTTCCCAAAACCAACGCCCCGGGGTCTTCCCGTCTCGGTAGGTAGGGCTCCACCATCCACCCAACGGTGCTCACCCCCGAACCCTCCCTTTTCCTGATTCCCCACGTGACGGGTCCCACCTCCAGCTGCTTTCGACTGTCTTCTATCTCCACTGCCACCAACCTGGTTCAGGCTGCCTTACACTAAGCCTGTCCTGACTAGGTTTCCGTGCTTCTCCTCTGATCCCTCTGTAGCCACCAGGAGGGGTTCATTCAGGGAGTGAACTCCTTGTCTCAAAACCCTTCACTGGTTTCCTCCTGAGAAAAATCCAGGTTCCATTCTGGGCTGCAAGGCCTGGTAACCGGCCCTCCTTCTTCTCTAACTGCTTTCGGTTCCACTCTTTCCTGTGCTTGCGATGCCGGAGCAGCCCCACTGGCTTCCTTTCAGGGCCTGGACTAGAGTGAGCTCTTTCTCGCCTCAGGGTCTTTGCACTCACTGCTTCTGCTATTTGAAACCTCTTTCTCCAAAGCTTTGCAAGGCTGGTTCCTCCTCATTCTTCAGGTTATCACCTCAAGTGTCACCTCCTCAAAGAGACCTTCTCTGACCCCAACACTTAAAATAGGCCCTTGTGGCCCCTCGCCAAGACTCTACGCGTTGTTTCCAAGGCACCCATTGCAATCTGAAGTTGTTCATTTGCTTTCCTGTTTACTGTCCATCTCTCTCGGCTAGAGAGTCAGCTGCCCCAGGGCAAGGATCTTGTCTGCTGTGCTCATGGCTGCGTCCCCATAGCACAGAACTGTGTCTGGCACTTAGCTGATGTTAGACGCAGTACTCTGGGTGGATCACCCGCCTCACAGGGGTTTTGTGAGCATTAAATGAGAACGTAAGTCAGAGTCCAGAATGCTAACCATCACACCACGTAACCCCTCTGAGAAGTTAAGAGCACAGCACAGCTCACCACCCAGAGCGAGCCCACAGCCCTTACAGCTGTTACTACCCCCGTAGCTGATGATTCCTAGGACGCCCAAGGGGCCTCATGAACACGCCACAGGTCTGTGACCCAGCTCTACACTTACTTTCCTCCTGAAACAGAGCAGCACATTCTACCTAACTTTTGGTCCTTGATGGATTTGGGGTTTTCCAACATCACAGACAGCAACCATATTTAATTTTTGATGACCCATGAACCAGAATAAAACTGGGAAGTGGTACTAGCCTCTGCTATGACAAAGAACAATCATTAGGTAGGAATCAAAACCGTTTGGACCAAAGCTTAGAGGCATAACTGCTGGCACCAAGAAACAATCCAATGACACGTTTTGTCAGGAGGTTACTGGCGCAGGCAGACAAGACACCTCCACGGCGTGAAGTTGAAAGCGCAGTGTCCAGAGGCAGACTGCCCAGCTCCAACTCTGTTCAGTGTATGACCCTGAGCCAAGTCGTGTGCTTCAGTTTCCTCACTGTATGATGGGGACACCAGGGGCATTTGGCCCAGAGGGTTGCAAACACGAAAAGGTCACCTGTGTAAGATGCTCAGAAGAGTGCCTGGTATGTGGCAACACTCAACACATTTTAGTTCTTCTTCTTTTTCTTCTTACTCCAAGTAATCTAAAAAGCAGAAGTGAGGCAAAAATACTTTAACTACCAAATGCCAAATATACTTAAAAACAAACTGCTTTGCTGAGTTTAGACACAGAGTGAGGGTGTGTCAGAGCTGGACCTGCGGGGAGGGCAAGGTGAACTCTCAGGGCAGCAGGGTCACTGCTGCCGGATTGAGACAGAGACCCTTGGGCTTGAGGTGTGGTTTTGATTTGGGGGATGGAGTGCCACTGTATATAGTGCACCATGAAAGTTAAGAATTGGAAACAGTGTTTAGGGGTTAATATCCAGAATATATAAAGAACTACTACTGCTCAATAGCAAAAACCAATTTTTAAAATGGGCAAAGGACACATCTCCAAGGAAGATACACAAGTGACCAACAAGCACGCGAAAGGATGCTCGATCTCATCAGCATTAGGGAAATGCAAATCTAAACCACAATGGGATACCACTTCACACCCATTAGGATGGGCGTTATCAAAAAGAAAACAGGAAGTAAAGTGAGGATGTGGGGCAACAAAGATCAATGCAGCCAAAAATAATTAATTAATTAAAAAAAAATGGCTTCACCTTCCAATGCAGGGGGTGCGGGTTCAATCCCTGGTTGGGGAGCTAAGATCCCACATGCCGTGGAGCAACTAAGCCCGTGCGCCACAACCACTGAGCCTGCGCTCTACAGCCCGCGAACCACAACTACTGAAGCCCACATGCCTAGAGCCCGTGCACTGCAACAAGAGAAGCCACTGCAATGAGAAGCCCCCGCACCGCAACAAAAAGTAGCACCTGCTCGCCACAACTAGAGAAAGACCACGCGCAGCAACAAAGACCCAACACAGCCAAAAATAAAAAGATAAACAAATTTATTTAAAAAACTCAAAAAACAAAACAAATGAATAAACAAAATGTGGTGTAATTGTTTGTTTTTTTTTTTTCGGTACGCGGGCCTCTCACTGTGTGGCCTCTCCTGTTGAAGAGCACAGGCTCCGGACACACGGGCCCAGCCGCTCCGCGGCATGTGGGATCCTCCCGGACCGGGGCACGAACCCGTGTCCCCTGCATCGGCAGGCGGACTCTCAACCACTGCGCCACCAGGGAAGCCCAATGTGGTGTAATTGTACAAATATTATTCAGCTATAAAAAGTGAGAGACAACTCGAATGGATCTCGAGGGCAGTATGCTAAGTGAAATAAGCCAGACACAGAAGGACAGACACTGTATGATTCACTCCTATGCGGCACCTAAAGTAGTCAAATTCAGAGACAGCAGAATGGCGGTGGCCAGGGGCTGGGGCGAGGAGGGAATGGGAGTTATTTCTTAATGGGCAGAGTTTCGGTTTTGCAACATGAAAAGTCCTGGAGACGGACTGGATGGCGGCGACGGGTGCACAACAGTGTGAGCGCACTTAACGCCGCTGAACTGTGTGCTTGATGATGAAGATGATCAATCTCATGTGTATTTTACCAGAAGTGTTTTTAAAAAGAAAACAAAACAGTGTTTCTGTCAACCTCATTACAGAAGCTTGGTTCAAAATTTCAAATATTTGTTCAAATGAGAGTAATTTAACAAACACCCACCAGTTGCTAAGTCCTGTGCTGGGAGCCCAGGGAGGAGACAGAAAGGTCACAGTTCCCGTGAGGGAATGAGAGCAAGAGGGCACAGGGCAGAAAAAGACACGAGGAACTTGATAACCTTACTAAAGAGGCAGACTGGATGAGGAGGCTTTTTTTTTTTTTTAAGATTTTTTTGATGTGGACCATTGTTTTTTTAAAAGTCTTTATTGAATTTGTTACAATATTGCTTCCGTTTTTTAAAAAATTTTATTTTTGGCTGTGTTGGGTCTTCGTTGCTGCACGCGGGCTTTCTCTAGTTGCAGCGAGTGGGGGCTCCTCTTTGTTGCGGTGCGCAGGCTTCTCAGTGCGGTGGCTTCTCTTGTTGCGGAGCATGGGCTCTAGAGTGCAGGCTCAGTAGTTGTGGCAAGCGGGCTTCAGTCGTTATGGCTCAGGGGCTCTAGAGCACAGGCTCAGTAGTTGTGGCGCAGGGGCTTAGTTGCTCCGCAGCATGTGGGATCTTCCTGGACCAGGGCTCGAACCCCTGTCCCCTGTGTTGGCAGGTGGATTCTTAACCACTGCGCCACCAGGGAAGCCCTGCTTCTGTTTTATGTTTTGGTTTTTTGGCCCTGAGGCATGTAGGATCTCAGCTCCCCGACCGGGGCTTGAACCCAAACCCCCTGCACTGGAAGGTGGACCGCCAGGGAAGTCCCGTGTATGAGGAGTCTTACCAGAGAGGGGTGCACAGGGCTTGAGCTTTAGAGGAAGAAAGCAGACATCAGCACCCCAAACCCAAGACTGCAGGGAAAGAGGACTGAAAACAGGATACAGAAAAACTTAGGGGGTGATTAACCAAGACCTCTGGAAAAGAAAATCTTTAAAATGACAGCGTAGGGTAGCGATAGAAGAAAAGAAACAGTCAGCTGCTGTCAATGGGACACCTTCTCCGACAGTTCCACGGGGAGAGAATGACTCCAGTGAGGCCGAATGAAATCCACCCCAGGACCACCAACTGCTGCGATGCCTCCTGCACTGCCGCTTTCCCCCCGAGATTTGCACTTTCAAGAATATCCATGTTATTCACACCAAGACTTTCTTCTCTGCAACATAGCAGGGCCGTTGCTGGGAGCTGGCCGGGGCCCCGGCGTCAGCAACTGGAAGTGTCGGGATGACTGCGTCCTAGGAAGCAGACCTGGGAGGGAGGAAAGAACTGGGAGGCTGAGGTCATTCTTGCTCTTCGCTTGTGCACATCAGAGGCCACGCTGAACGCGACACCTGACGCAAAAAGGGAGGCTTCACTCACTTGAAATGCAGAAATATTTATTTTGGTTTCCTTCATTGTTTTTGGAAATTCTGTTTTGGTTTATAAAACATAGAAATAGCCAACACTTAAAGCAAACATTCAAAACCCCATTGTGACAAATTATTGACTTCTTGTGCAATTAAGAATGCACGTATGAAGCTAGGCTACCAAATAGCGTTATTACAACGACAACTCTTTAGGGCAAACCCTGTTGTGCTTGTATAATACAGGTAGTCACATATCCACAAACAACTGCTTTCAACATATAAATGACAACTAAATTCAGTCACATGTGGCAAAGACTTGCAGTAAAGTGAAATGCTGCTAATTACCCAAATTAACTTAAAAAAAAAATCCCTTGAGAAGTTAATCCCAGGAAATGAGTTTTCCAGATTCCTATGTCTTAGAATTTTGGCTTGTCAAATACATTTCATAGAAATCAGGTAGCATTATGATAGAAGAGCATTAATTACCATCCATTTCTATAAGTAGCCAAGTGTATCTACTCCCTTAATTTTTTTTTTTTTTTTTTTTTTTTTTTTGGGGTACACGGGCCTCTCACTGTTGTGGCCTCTCCCGTTGCAGAGCACAGGCCCCGGACGCGCAGGCTCAGCGGCCATGGCTCACGGGCCCAGCCGCTCCGCGGCATGTGGGATCCTCCCGGACCGGGGTACGAACCCGTATCCCCTGCATTGGCAGGCGGACTCTCAACCACTGCGCCACCAGGGAAGCCCCTCCCTTAATATTTTTAAAGACATGCCTTGCCTGAGAGTTTATTCTGGGGAAAAAAAGCCACTTAATCACAACGTACTCTTCTGATATGAAAACCACATTAAAAACCATCACAGACAGAGCGACGGGTTCAGTGAAGATAAAGTGGACAGTTCTTCAGGCGTCACAGTTGAACATGGCTGATCCAGGTCATTGTTTCCTTGTTGAAATGCTTGTCTTCACTGCAGAGTCTAAGGCAGATTTTTTTAATAACCCCTGGGAAGGGATGGAGGGAGGGAATCGGGTCTCGAGAAGAGGGTCGGCGAATATTCTGCTCTGTGGACGCCAGAATCCACCCGCTCTGGTGAGCGGCCATCCATCCATACCTGCGTTGTTCTCAGTTAGGTCCATCCTCTGCTCCAACAGGAGTGACAGGGGTTAATCAGAAGGGTCACATGAGATGGGGAGGGGACGGTGGCAGGGATTAAAAAAAAACCTCTGGTCCACTTGCAACCTCCTGCAGCTGGGACAGTTCTTGTTTGTAAGGGACGGTTCCCTCCAGTGCACGGTACTCTTCAGAGCAGCAGACACCTGCAGAATTTGCAGCAAGTAGCAGACATCTCAGAAATAGCAAAGTCCTAACCACTTGGTTAGCAAAAAAGGGAGACAAGTTTTCACCCTCTTTTTAAACTGAGGAAGTCGTAAATAACTTAGCACATTTATAGTTTCCCCTTTACAATTTTTTTAAGGCTCATTTTGGAAATTATGTATCACCGTGAACATGGTCTGCAATGCGACGTGACCATAAGGCAGTGTTCCATTCCCTCTAAGCTTCCTGTGATGAGAATCTGAACTCACAAGGCAGACAAAGACGCTCCTTCCCTACTTGCTGTTGTCAAAACTACCCACTGAGGCCACGGGCGGGAGAAGACCGCGGAGGCATGCGGCCTCTTCCCAACTTCCTTCCTCGCATTAAATTTTGATGGTGGAATAGAGTTCATCGATCTGTGACCTGAAATAATTCCGAAGCTCTGGCCTTTTAGCCTTCATCGTTGGGGTCAGAAGGCCGTTGTCGACAGAGAATAATTCAGGGTGGAGACTAATACCTTTGACCTGCAAAGAAACCAGGCAGTCAAAGGAGGAAAGGAGCACGGAGGCCACCTGAGTCTAAAAAGCACTTAAGCTTCCCAAGGGATAAAGACCCTTCTGGGCGACTCAAGCCAGCCTCTCAGGCCAGGTCCCGCTGCACTGTCTCAACAAAGGGCAGTGGCCTGTTGTCAGTACAGAATCAGGACTGTAGCCTGACCTCCAGGAAGAGAATTCACACTCTTGGTTACAAAAATCCCCTCCCCTACCAAACCACTCCACTACCCCTTCCGCACAGATGTCTTTACGTCACCTCATCCTCTTCTATAATATATTCACAAAAAGCATCCTCCAGTCAAAACCCCGTTTTGCAGGAATTCATACACTTGGATGCAAGTCTTACCTGTTCAAATGATTTTAGGCCAGCATCCTTCCCAAGTCTCACCATGTCTTCCAGAACAGCTTTTTGGACACCCTAATAAGGCAAGAAAAGTAAGATCCTTACTCCCGTGGCGGGAGTCCCTCAACTTTGCACTTAATGCAAAGGGCGGGTCAGAAGTAGGCTGCACACTTCGGAACCTACCTTGCTTCTGCACAGTTCTTCAAAGGAGCCTTCAAAGCCTCGCTTCCGGGCCCAGGGACCTAGCGTCTCAATGTCTGGTACCACAATTGCTATGAGAAATGCCTTTAACAGAGACAAGTAAGTTATTAACGGGCTCGATCCAGATGCTCTAAAATTGTGGTTCTTTATTATCTGCAGCCTGGGCCCCTGGGAGAATCTGATGGGAGTTACAGATCCTCTTTTCAGAGCATGTTACCAGCCCCAGAGTCTGTGGGGCCCAGGTTAACTCCTGCCTCTGAAATATAGACAGCGTTGGGGATTTTGCAATAAATGTTTTAAAACAACCATTGGAAATCAAAACCTAATAAAACCCTAATTTT